CCTGCATCATGTTGTGCCATCACCTGCTGCTTAACACAACTTTGTCAACACAACAGCTGTGCGGCGGCCTCGTGCACGGCTACAGCTGTTCCAAGACGAGACAACAGAGGCGGAAGATAACAACAAAAACACCGCTTGTTGTGATGTGACTGGTCTGTGTATGTGTATGAGTGTTTGACAGTGACTTAGAGTAGGGTCTTGCTGTATACTGTGTGGGAGACGAAGTCACAAGTGAAGAAGACAGGTAATAGGATAAGGCGATGAGATAAGTGGAGTGATAAGATAAGTGACAACAATCAAGCAAGGGAAGTAGAGACAGGCACAAGGTAAAGAGAGGAGAGCAAAGGTTCGGATCTTGGGTGTTGGTGTCCTCGGTGAGGAGTGGTAGTTCCGTTCTGTTGTGTGGTTCGGAATCTGAGTTGGTCCTGAACTCCAAGAGTACTATGATTTGATACCCTTAAGTTCGGCCTTGACACTCCTTCACGACACTTAAGTTCAGGGTTTGTATTGTAGTGCTGTGTCCCTACACCGCTGGCATTGGCAATAGTGTGGCAGTCGTAGTATCTGGAACGAGGACCCGCACGATGATGACGAAGAAGACGACGAAGAGGAGCTGCCACACGTACTGACACCACTTCGTGGCGCAGCAAACGGTGAGATGTGTTAACGTGTGCGTGTAGGTGTTCGTGTCCACGAACCTTCATGTACCAATGTTGATGTGTTGTGTTGTGTGCTGTCTGCATATCTTTTGTCGGCCTGTTGATATGTGCGTGCCCCAGAACGCCTACGCACGCACACATCCAAACACAAACACACACACACACACGTCTCTTGGCGCTCCACATGTGTTTCTGTTGCACGCTGCTCACATGCCCTCGTTCTACGGTTGCATGGGGTGGTCACTGTCCTTCCGGTTACCAATATGTATGCGAGATGGTTAGCTTCAGCCACGATGTCAAGTAGCATTGACTGTCCACAACCAGGTTCGAGGCTCAGTGTAGGAACAGCAACGTCAACCTTCGTTTCATTGCAAGACAGGTTTTGAGCAGAGGACGCGGAACTGAGTCGCATCCCTGACACCCGCCCAGCGAATACGCTGAGACATACAGCAGAGGAATGGAAGAACAGAAGCAAGTGAAAGCTAAGGCGTGAGAGCCCGACAGCAAGAGCAGTCGTGGTCAAAGAGTTTCAAACGCCTCTTTTGATTTTCTGTCCACAACACGAACAGGAATTCACATCAACGCTCAAACAAACACTCACGTAATCCATCACAGCCACGGAACGAAAGAACGAAAAGAACGAGAGACTGACATGACAGAGAAAAAGAGCACCAATGGAACAACCAAAAAGGCGAAGAAGGGACACGAGCGGAGCTGACCAAAGATGGAAAGGCGTAAAGCAACGAACGGCATGGGTTAGTTGAGACTGAGGGTGAGCCCGAGCGGTGAGTGATCAAACAGTTCATGTTCCTGAGTAACTTTCGTCATTTCGAGCGGGTTGATCGCATTCACTTGCTGTGAAACGAAAATGCCGTCAATCGGGTTTGGACGGATCGGGTTTACCGGACACCTCAGCTGTAAGTTGTTGTGTAATGTCAGGTTGCGAACATCTTGGCCAATGTTTCGGTGGCAGTTGAAGTCACCCATGACCAGTACTTTGTCACGAGGGTACTTGGTGCGAAACCAAGCGATGGCGTCTTTGAGCCGACCAAGTGCATCATTGTGCTGCCCGGATCGGGATGTTGAATTGGGTAAGTGAACGCCAATCACAAAACAATAGGAGTTATTTGGCACGAACTTCATTCTCCATACAGTGTATCGGGATCGAAGCTCCATATCTGTGATCTTCTCGTCCGACGTCTTAAATGTCTCCGGTCTCCAAAAGGCTGTGTCATACACCAGCAAGTGATTCGTGTCTTGGCCTTGAAAGTAGGCTGTGCATAGAAAATCGAACACTCTTCCGTTATCCCCGCGCCTGAGTTCCGCGCACACGTTTTTGGCCTGGAGCTTGCTCGTCCATTCCACGACACACGCCAGATTCGTGTTCGTTTTGCGCATAAACTTCACGAGGGTGCGCGTTTTGTCGGTGACTTTGGGTAATGAGATTTTCTTATCCCTGATGTGGCCGGCGTTCCATGACATGACTTGTGCCTGGTTCGATGTTGGTGTTTGGGGTTCGCGGTACACTGACTTGTGCTTGCGGGCGCGGCACTTGTGCGTTTTGCCGCATTCCTCCTTTTTTGCACTTGGCTCACCACAGCACACACAACTCGTTTGCGGCTTTGGACACTTGTTTGCGAGGCATCGATGACCCGTTGGGCCTGGTTTACCACATGTTTGTTTGTTCTTTCCCTGCTGGTGGCAACACGAACAAGCCATTTTGGATGTGATGGTTGTTGTTCCTGGAAGGACGAAAAGAAATGGACGAGGAACAGTGTGTGAATTTTTCATACACAATCACAGAGGTTGGAAGGTCGGTGGGAGGCGAACGGACGTCCCAATCGGGAAAGCAAAACTTGCCAGAGCCTCACATTCTTCTCCTTGTTTCCTTCCTTCTTCTTCCTGTTTGGAAGGTTGCAACAACCAAGTGCGAACGAAGGACCCATGTTTGTTCTTCAAGTTGAAAATTCCTTCCTTCACCCCTCCCTTTCTCCCACGGAAATGCTTGCTTGCTGTCTTGCTGGCATCATACACCTTCCAAAACAAGAAATGAATTATGCAAAATTTGAGCCTTTCATCCTTCTCCTTCGTTCATGATATGTGGTTTCCCAAACTGTCAGGTCGCAAAAGAAAAAAGCAATGCTGTTGCAAACCACTTGCTGGAGTTTCTGTTGTGACACGCGGCCTTCCCCGAAGACACGTCTGCCGCGAGCTGAGCTGAGCCCGCACACTGACAGGACAAGGTATTTGCACTTGTCATTTTCTCGCTGACACGACCGCGATGTCTCTGGCTGTGAAGAGGCTCGAAGCTCTGGACGATCGTTATGATCAAGCCCTCATCAGTGATAAGGGCCTCAGCACTGAGCAGCTGAACAAGGTCGGGCACAAATTCCTTCCTTACTTCCACGACTCGAATGACCGCGCGTCTTTACAACAACAGCTCGAAAAGTATCTTCCCTCAGTGGCGCGTTACGCGAAAGCTTTTATGGGAAAGAATGGACGATCTTACAGCAAAGGGGGTCTCAACATGAATCACCTTGCCGATATGATTGCAGTGAAGCCGTTTGAACTGAGAGCCCCAGAAAAAGCACATTTGCGTCGCAGCTGGCTTGAGTTGTTTGGCAAGCGTCTTTCTGCTGAGAGATACTGCGAAATGCTTCACAACGCCGCTGATGGCATAGCGGATGAGGCGGACGTTCAACAAGCACCTGAGCAACCTGAAGTGGAGCAACTCAAACTTGAAGAGGACGACGCCGCTGCCCCCACCTTTGCGGCCCTTTCCTTTGACGTTCCAGAATACGCGGTGCCGTATTACAATGACCATGGGCCACGATTTGGTGCAAGGCGAAAGACACAGGCTCGGGACCACCTGAAGCTCATGGCCCGCCAATCAAATCTTGCTGATTGCGGGAACACGACCTTTGTAAGCCAGAACTTTCCAGTTGGACCGCACTTTCTGCCCCATAACCTGGCCCACCTTCGCCTCCAGTTGATTGCACATGGTGACGAGTAAGTTGAAACAGTAGCGTGTTCACGCATTTCTGGAACGCAATTGTTCTTGTTGACCGTTAACCTCTTGCTCTTCAACTGATTAGAAGATTCACAACATGCACACTTACATGTGGCAGGTTGGATATCAATGCAAGCCGACTTGTGATTGTGACAGGGCCTGAGGCATGCACGTACTCAATCCCAAATGGAAATGACAACCCTGTCATTCAGGGCAACCCCAACTTGACGCCACCATTTTGGATGGGTTACCGTCTCTCCACAGGTAGTCACAGGCACGTTTACAACACGCTGTATGACATAAATCAGCCCAGCAAACACAATCAGTCTTGCCGTTTGTGGCGGCTTGCAGATTCGTCCTACGCACTGAGAGACGGCAATGTCACGCCGCAACTCATCGTGAACAACTTCATTGCCCGCGTCAATCGACAACGTTGGAGTGCACCTAGCAACTTTTGGTTTGTCAAAATTGACCGTGTCTATGTCAGGGATGAAGTGCAAGGCTTGCTTGACCAAACGGCGCACTTCATGCACAATGGAGTTGTTTTCTTTCCAAATTGACTCAATGTTTTGGGAGGGGGCATGTCACTGTTTGTTTGGCCTTGTTTGTTTGCCCTTGTCAAAACTTGTTCCTTACAACCTCTGTCGGTGCCAGTGACACTGCTTCGCCGACTTAGCCTCTCAGCCGCCTTGAGCTGACACAATTCCCTCTTTCCCTTTCAGTCCTCTTCGTTCCCTTCGTCACTGATTGTGTGATGTCACAATTTCATTTTGGAGACAATCCCTTGCTTGCTTGCTTGCTTGCTTGCTTTGTTTGAGTTCGACACTGATCATTGCTTTTCGGGTCTTTGGCAACATGATTTGACAATCCTGCCAGGTTTGTTTTTTTCAGTGCACTTCACACTGGCGTTTCTTTGTTCATTCTTGTTTGTTCCACTGTTCCTCGTGTCTCCACCACCCCAAGTACACCAGTGAGCACCCTGACAGCTCGACAGTTTACAATCGGTCGTGCACAATGCTGAGTGTAGCTTGTCCGATGCAACCTCACAACCTTGTTGTGATGTGACTGGTCTGTGTATGTGTATGAGTGTTTGACAGTGACTTAGAGTAGGGTCTTGCTGTATACTGTGTGGGAGACGAAGTCACAAGTGAAGAAGACAGGTAATAGGATAAGGCGATGAGATAAGTGGAGTGATAAGATAAGTGACAACAATCAAGCAAGGGAAGTAGAGACAGGCACAAGGTAAAGAGAGGAGAGCAAAGGTTCGGATCTTGGGTGTTGGTGTCCTCGGTGAGGAGTGGTAGTTCCGTTCTGTTGTGTGGTTCGGAATCTGAGTTGGTCCTGAACTCCAAGAGTACTATGATTTGATACCCTTAAGTTCGGCCTTGACACTCCTTCACGACACTTAAGTTCAGGGTTTGTATTGTAGTGCTGTCTCCCTACACGCGATGCACGCTCTCCAGGTGCCGCTTGAACAGCGGCACGTTCTGCACACGCTGCACGCGCAGGTTTCGGGGGCGAAGCGGCTCCAACAGCGCGCGCACGCACGTAGCCCACCTCGTCCTCGTTGGTCACATCAACAAGCAGCTGGCCCTTGCGCATGTCCCAGCAGCCAGGAATCTCAAAGATGGCCTGTGCCTCCACCTTCGACCGCTGCTCGTCCAACCACCCGCCGCACGCGCTCAATCTCAGGCGCAGGTCGTTCACGTGCATGCCCACGTGCTCCACTCACGTACACCCAGTGGTCCTGGAAGTCCACCGTGAAGTAGCGGTCAACCAGTTTGATCTTGAAGAAGCGCGCCGACTTCCACGCCTTGCGGTTCTTGTACTCCAGCCACCACTGCAGAACATCTGGATCAACCGTCCGGCGCATGTTGCGCTCGTTGTCCGCAGCCGCGGTTGCACGGGCGTCGGCGACCAAGCGGGCGGCGTCCTCCTCACTCATCTTGCAGTGCTCCTTGTGCAAGTACTTGTCAGGGAAGCGCCCGCACGGCTTTGGGCATCTCCTTGGGCATCTCGCGCGCATGCTCCGCAGCAACGCCGCCAGCACCGACACCCCTGTGCTTGCCGACACTGCCATCATCGCCATCACCATCATCATCATCATCATCATCATCATCATCATCATCATCATCATCATCATCATCATCATCATCATCATCATCATCATCATCATCATCATCATCATCATCATCATCATCATCGTTGTCAGCATTGCTGCGCTTGCGCTTGGCAGCGATGGCAGCCCGGTACTTGTTGAAGGCGTTTTCAATCAGCAGCGTCGCGTCATGTGTAAACCCGTTCCACGCGGCCTTGTTGTCCAGCTCCGCCTTGGAGGGCGGCACCGTGTACGTTGGCCCCACGTGGATGGTGTCAGCTGGCATCTCGTTGACCGGCGCATCCAGTGTGCTGCGCTGCAGGTCCTCATACAGCCCGCTGCCCACCTTCTCGCCATAGTACTTCTCAAACGGCTGCTTAAACGCCGACAGCATGCTCACGTCCTTGGTGATGATGGTCACGCGGATGGTGTCGAAGAACGAACGTGCCGTCGCGGTCCACCTCGTCAATCACCTCAAACAGCGCGCGTGCAGACGCGTATGGGGAGCAGCGGAAGGCGCCGCACCCGAGCGCGCACGTGGCAAGCGAGCGAATCTTGTTGTCCCGCGCCGTCGTCAGCAGCGCGCGGTACGCCGTCGTCAGGTCCGCAGCCGTCTGCGTCACCGTGCTGCCATGCCAAACTCGGGTGCAAAGTTTGGCGCAACCACATGCAGCACGTGCTCAATGTTGGACGAGAGGGTCAGCGCACCGGACGTGGTCACGCGCGCCTCGTTGTACCGCAGGGGGCCCGCTCCTCTCGGCGTTCATGTCGCGGGCGTTGATGATGCTTCCCTCGCGAATCTCCGCGCGCAGCTGCACAGCCGGCAGCGTCTCGCTGATGGTGTGATACTGGTACAGCTCCACCTCCCACACGGCCTGCTTCACCTTGGCCGGGAACAGCCTCTCGCATGTGGTCAGCAACAGCACCTTCGACGCCGCCGCCACTTCCTTGCGCGGACCTTCGAGCACTGCGTGGGCACTGAGGTCGACAGGCTGTCACCCCTGCCAGAGGCGTACGTGCCCTGTGCTCGCTGTTGTGATGTCACTCCTGCGTGCGCGGCTTGCTCACTCAAGCCAACCCCATCGCCGCCGGCAGCAGAAGAAGCAGTGGAAATAGCAACAGCAGTGCCAGCAGAAGCATTTGCAGTGGCAGAAGCAGCGCCCGTGCTTGCGGTATAACCGGCATCAGCACCAACGCCTTCTTGCGCAGCCGCTTCAGCTCGCTGTCCAGCAACCAGCTCATTGGCCACGGACATGGGCACCTGGCACACGTAGCGTGTGGGCCGGATGTGGGCAATGGTGCGGAACGTCGACTCCGTCGTCGGGATGACCGTCTGCACCATCCACACGTTGCGCTCAGAGGGCGTGCCAGCCAATCACGTCCTGCGGCGCAACATAGCTCACCACGTCGTCCTTGCTGCGGCACACCGTGCGGCTGGCCTTGGTCAGGTAGTTGAACAGCTTGCGCTTCAGGAAGGTGACGTCCGACTCAGACATGTCCGGCACGTGCGATGTGTCAATGACCGGCAGCCTGAGCACGTGGCACAGGTACTCCTTGAGCGTGTCCTGCACCGCGTTGTCAAACGCCGTCAGCTGCCGCTGCATGCCCTCCACGGTCACGGGCACGCTCGAGGCGCACGCGTCCCTGTCCTCCGCGCTGGGCTTGCGAACATACACACGGAACTTTCGGGCCAGCTCCAGCAGCTGCGAGTCCAGGAAGCGGTACTGCATGCCCGTGACGCTGATCGTCGTCTGCGACTTGATGTTGGCGCCGACGGTGCTGTTGATGTAGCTGAGCCCACGCTCCCTGTCCTGGTCCAGGTAGTAGTACAGCGAGTACTCCAGCAGCATGGCGCCCCGCCGTCCAGGTCGCGCGTGTGTGTCAGCGCCTGCTGGGGTGCCACGGGCGATGCGATGGGCGGGGTGCCGGTGACGGGCGGCGGCCGCACAAACGCCACACATCCCGCATGGCCCCGTGTGTCGTGTCGGCGTAGGGCAGCAGGCCAAGCGTCGGGTAGCGCACCAGCTTGAGGCCGAAGTCGTTCAGGACGTGCTCCATGATCTTGTCGTCGCCCAGCACGCGGTCGCTGTGGGCACACAGGTGGAAGGCGGGCGCGAGGAAGCTTGCAAGCAGCTTGGCCTGCGACCACACCGGCACGGCGGTGCTGCCCGAGAAGCAGATGCGGTTATTTGTGGTTGCAGCCGCCAGCACATCAAGGTCCTTGGACACGCTGCGCTTGTTGAATGCGTCGACGAGGTCCGACAGGAGGCCGCCCAGCTTGGGGTCGAGCACCGCCACGTGCACGTCGTTCGGGTGGCACAGCCGCGCCACAAACTTGTGCGAGACAGAGATGGCAAACTGCATCCTGCGCACACACGCATGCGCCGCACGCGTGTCTGTCGTCTCCAGCACAAACACGCGCTGCAGCGTCGTCTCAGAGGACGCACCGCCGCTTTTGCTGTCGTCGCTGTCAGCATCGCCGTCTTTCTTGTACTGATGAGGGTCGTGCACAGCCGTGAGCTTGGCAGCAACGTGTGCCTCGTCGTCACCTCCACCCTGCTGCTGCTGTTTCTCCTTGTTCTTGTTCTTGTTCAGCCATGCGGGTGTTGGCAAACGGCTGGATGCGGGACAGCGTGTCCTCGAGGGACTGTGGGATGGGCACAAGCTTCGCCTTGCCACCAACTCAAACGCCTGCACAATGTCGCGGCCCGTGGTGGGCTTGCTGTGCAAGGTACAGGTGACGACAACAATGCGGTGCAGCGGTGCCTGCCGCGCCTCCAGACGACAGCCCGCCGCCGTGTCAATGGGCAGTGGCAGCAAGCTTCGGAACGTCTCCTCGCTGTCGGCAACCACGTCCACGCTTGCACAGCGCATGTCCGGGAAGACCTGCAGCGACTGGAAGTTGACGCCTGCACGCTCCAGCGTCGCCTGCACGCTGCGGCACGTGTCCGTTGGCCAGGGCATGGCGGCAGTCAAGCCCTTGTCGTCACGCTGCCTGGCTGCCTCGCTCAGGTAGAACGTGATGCGCTTTGCCTGGCCCGCAACAGGCGCCGGCGTGATGGATGTTGGCGACGCAGGGGAGGAGGATGTGGAGTCCTTGCCCTTGCTCTTCCAGTTCTTTGCCTTTGGGTCTGGGAACACGTTGAGCTTCGTGTCCAGCACCTCTCGCTGGTCGCACAGGCGGACCATCAGCTCGGCGCTCTCCCGCGACACAAACCTGTTGCAAGGGGGAGGGGGTGGTTGGTTGAGGACGTGGTTGAGGGACGGGCACGCGTGCACAAGCAGAATGGAGTTGGAGGAGCATCTGTGCATGCACATACACAGACACACACAGACACACAGACACACACAGACACACAGACACACACACACACACACACACAAATACACACATCGCCTACCTGAATGTGCCCCTGACGCGGTTACCGTCCGGCTTGTATGCGTGCGAGTGAAAGCCGCCGTTTGCCTTGGCGAGCGAGGGCAGCACTTCCTCAAGACCTTCGGGTACGGGCTCAACACAGCTCGTCCGCCGTCCAGGCGGGGCAGTCCGGGTCGCGGCGGGCTGTCAGCTGCACCTGCCCAATCGGGAAGTTCGTCATCTCCCTCAGGACGCGCTCGCCAACGTCACGCGTCACGCAACTGCACATGTGTGTGTGTGTGTGTGTGTGTGTGTGTGTGTGTGTGTGTGTGTGTGTGT